GGTAAAAAAAAAAAAAAAAAAAAAAAAGGAGACTAAAACTGAGAAACACATAAAGTACTTTTTCACAGCTATTCATAATATAAATTATGAAAATCTCTCTGGAGAACAATTTAGTATCAAAGCCTTAAAAATAAATCCTAGAAAAATAAAATAAACCCTAAATTATAACCAAAAAGGTTCTACTTCTAGAAACTCAAGAGATAAAAGCAGAAATGAGTAAAAAGATTAAACCAATTAAACTGACAATGTGATTTGCAACTAGATAACGTTACTGAACCAATTAGACCAAGATTAAGCTGGAAATGAGACTGTAATGAAACTTACTGCGATGGTCACTGGAGTCACTGTAGAAGAGCTGTCTGTGACGATGAGCACCTGCTGTATCTGTGCTCTCTAGAATGGCAGCCACCAGCCACACTTGGCCACTCAATACCTAAAATGTGATTGCTGCAGCTGCAGCTTAATGTGTACATGTAAACACCACTTGTGAGTAGTGGCTACTGGACTGGGCTGCAGGCCTCCGGAGAGGACTCTTCTCTCAGATTTAAACTAATGCCACATCACATTCCATAGTGACTTCGACAGGGGCTGAAAATTTCTGACCTGTAACTTCTGCACTAAAATAAACACAGCTTATTCCCTCCTACAGTGGTATGCAGCTTGGTAGTTGCCCCCAGGTGGATATAAAACATTAACAATTTTAATCTCGTAGCTTCCCTATGTTGTATTCTAACAAAAGTAGTTGAAATTGCTAGTTCTTCCTAGGCATTAGTTGTTTGTATGAATTTCAAAGACAAAAAAATGTGCTTTTAGGGTCAAATTCTCAGTTTTTCTCAGGTTTTAGAAAAATAGGATCTTATTCTCTTCTGTCAATACTTTAATTTCTTCCTTAGAACAAGCCTATGGATTTAAGGCTGAATCGTTTTCACAGCCACACAAACAGGGGTCTTGCCCTTTGGAACTCACTTGAGCTCTGGTCAAGGAGGCTGGTCAACCTCCTCTGGCCACTCCTGTGATCCCCAGGCACAAGGGATGTGCCCACAGGGAGCGGTACTCCAGTGCCCTTCCACCCACTCTGCATTCCAGATACCTGAGAACAGGACCTGCCTGCCAGCCTGTTTGCAGAACCAGCATGGGCTTCTTCCCTAGCTCCTCTCAAGGGATGGACAGGGGAGGGGCTACTTCCTATGTATTTGGTTTGTGCTCCAGCTAACATGAATGCTTTTAGGTTTGTTTGGGTTTGACAGGATCTCCCTATATAGCCCAGGCTAGCCTTGAACTCATAGCAATCCTCCTGCCTCTGCCTCCCAAGCACTGGGATTACAGGCGTGCACCACCACACCAGTATGAATGCTTTTAGAAAGTTGCCCAGGTGATTATACCCCGCAGCTGTCCAGTAAGCTATTCCAGGGTGGGGAGGGCCTGCTGCTTTGGAAGCTCTGAGCAGGGAGGCCTAGCCCTTAGAATATCATGGGCCAGTAAGAAAAGCCAGCCACGCATGCCGGCACATGCCTGTAATCTCAGCACTCTGGGAGGTTTAGGCAGGAGGATTTCAAATTCTAGCCCAAAAGGGCTACTTGCCAAGACCTGTCTCAAAATAGCTTTGAAACAAGGATTGAAGACATAGTTCAGTGAAAAGGCCCAAGGTCAAATCCCAGGTACTGCAAAAAAGTTAAAAAGAAAACAAAACAAAACAAAGTCACACGCACAGGTAAAGATGCTGAGCAACTGATTGAACATCAACATGGATTCTGAGTTTATCTCAAGTCTTGTTTGGTCTTAGGCATACTTCAGAGCTTGTAAATCTACAGTCAGTGATCACTATTTCATCACAGAAATACTCTTTCCTGACTCTAGGAAATGTTCTCAAAATCTTGCTTTCCTGTACAAGGCCTTCAAGGCTACTTGTCAAGGTCTAAACCAGGTGTGGTGGCACACGCCTGTAATCCCAGCACTCGGGAGGCTGAGGCAGAATGGCTGCAAGCTCCTGACCAGCCTGAACTACATAGTGAGACCCCATCTAAAACGAAAACGTCAAAACCGAATGCTGCCAGCTACCCACAGAAAACCTTAGGCTTGTCTGCATATTGGATGGAAATGGGCACTTTTCTTAGTGTGGAATGTTCTATTTTAATGGAAATAGTTACCGTCAATGAGAATATGGCAAATTATTGTGGCAATAAAAATTGTTTAAATTTTAAGATTTGGCAATAATCAAGTATACACACCCATTAAATACTATCTTAGACTTTAGTGTGCTCCATAAAATGTATCTACCAGATTTCTTATTTGCCAACTAATTTAAAAAAAGTGTGGTTGAAAAGTGAATTCCATGTAGTATTTATTAGATTTGGAAAGTTCTATGTTCATCTACTAACCACGCATGTCTCCAGCAGTATTTGTGGGTACACATTACACAAGGAAGTGAATAGTTGAAAACAGCTTCATTATGAAAGCCACTATATAAGAGCATTCTTGTGAAACAAGAGCCTTTCCTCCTTTTCGTCCCTAATCTCGGGATGGTACAGGGCCCTGACTGTCCCCGAGCACAGTCCATGTGGGAAAATTCTAACAGCCAGAGAAACAAGCAGGTCTCTCTGGAGGGTTCCATTACTGCACCTGTTGGGCTATTTTGCCCTTACAATAGCAATATTTACAGACTGAGTTATTTAATCTAGGCCTACAGGTACTATTGTGAAACTTTGTCATAGAATGTCCATAACACAAACATGACAAGCACTTTAAAAAACGGGTTATATATACGGTAACTTCAGGATAATTTTTCAAGAGCGAGTTGCAAGATACATTTTTGACCTCCAAGTTGATTTTACCATGCCTTTTCCATGAGGTTTATAGAACTCTAGGTTAAGCTTACTAGTCAGGAGACCAGTCACTGCGATGTGACCTAGGTTATACTCCCTCCCCAGCTCCTCCCTTCACTCTCTCTGCTTCTTGGCTACCATGTGACCAGCTCTCAGGCCATGACATCCTGTCTTGTAGCCAGCCTAGTACAGACTGACAGTGAGCCAAAATAACCTCCCCTCTAACTTGCAAGTATTGGTTATCGTGTCTTGGCGACAAAGAAAGACAGTAGATAAATGGATAAATACACCATAGTAACATCCAGACAATGAAACAGTAAAAGAATCTGAAAAGAAAGGAGCTAGGTGGCCATAAGACACAAAGGAACCTCACCTGCTTATTACTAGGTGAAAGATAATCTGAAAGGGCTTCTTCCGCTCTGTGCTTCTACCTACATCATTTCTGGGAAGTAAAAAAAATAAAAAATAAGAGTAAAAAGACTAGTGGTTGTCAAGGTTTCAGTGCGAGGAGGGGAAAGCATAAATAGACAAAGCACTGAGGGTTCGTGGGGTAGCAAAACTATTCTATATGATAATAGGGTACAAGAGGTGTTCGAAAAATATGGTAAATATCTAAATTAAAAAACTATTACAGTAAAAGACAGATTGCCATTTATTCGCTTTAAAATACTCACCCTTGCTTCAAACATATCCCATTGTTCTTGCCACGTCTACTGAGTGGCACTTGAGGCTCTTTAATAGACGCGATCAAAAGTACAGTGCATACTGCTGCCGACTGCCATCCAACAGAAAGGCAGCTCGTACAAACACTGCACTGTGTCCTCATCTACCTTATTCACCAGATGTGGCACCACACAACTTCTCTTTACCATGGGAGAAAGGATCACGGAAGGTCAATTCAGGACACGAAGGCAGCCATCACTGTGCAACTGAAGACGCTCATGAAAGACAACTTCCAGAACTGCTTCTGAAGTGGCAAAAGTGATGGGATACATGTATTCAAAGTGCGGAGTAATTTGAGGGGTATGAAAGGCAAGGTGTCTTTTACAGTAACAGAAAAAGAGTCATCGTAATTTTCTATCACCCTGAATAGATACGTCACTGAACACATCCCAACCCACAGAACGTACAGTACTGAGAGCGAACCCTAAGGTAAACTACGGGCTTGGGATGATGTGGGTTCACAGACGGTAACTAATGAGCCACTGTGTGTGCATGTTGGGGATGGGGAAGCCGATACAGGAGGCAAAGCATACAAAAGCACTGTTTTATGTCCTGCTTTGCTGTGAATCTAAAACTGCTTTAAAGAATAGTCTATCAAAGCCTTCTTTTAAAAACTGAGAAAAAAAAAATGCCATGTGGCAATACAGGTTGTTGAATATCCATTAGTACATGATTGGAACTGCAAATGTTTCAGATTTGTTCTGATTTTGGAATATTTGCACATACACAGTAAAATTCTTGGGGACGTGACCCAAATAATAAACATAATAAACACAAACTTGTCTTTCAAGAATATGTTATACACATGACCCAAAGAGAATCTGACACAGTACTTTTAGTGTGCTTGTGTTCTGACCGCAGTCTTTCACCTGGATCAGTTATAAAATTTACTGTGTATGGTGTCAGGGTGGCTCTCAAATTTTTGGATGTTCATATGAGAGATATTAAATTTGTACCTTTAAACTATTAGATTCAGTCAAGAGAGTCTGGGTGTGGCTAAGGATGTAGCTCAGGTTGCCTCTAATGTGTAAGGCCTTGGGTTCCACCCTGAGCATCCCCAAACAAACAACAAAAAAACCCTCCAGAGCCATATTTATAATTACCCATTACCAAACAAGGCATTCAGTGAGGGCAGGTCCTACAAAATCACACGACACAATCTAGCACACCAATCTGAACATGAGAAAGTCAAGCACGATGCAGGATCAAAGACACAAGCCACACACAGCGTTAAAACTCTGGTGCCATACACCATGAGGGTCTAGGAACTCAAACCCTTTGGGTGTTTTGTTTTCAAAGTTCATTTATGAAGGTCTCTCGAGTCTCCCCTTCAGACAATTTTTATATATTAAGAATTCTGCCACCCTGCCAATAATGTATTTGCCTGGAGAAAATAATGTGACAACTTGGAAATTTTGGTATTAGTTTATGCTTTAAAGCTTTATTTACATAGTACTCCAAAATATATTTCAGTTGCCCACCCACTCTTCCAAGTGTGAATGCTATCAAATCAACGAGCTTTACAGGAAAGCACAAAACAGAGAAAACAATTTTACAATTTAATGTACACAGTGCAATTAATGGTTGTTATTTTTAGTTTTCTTTTGAGGGTAATTACTTCATTTTTTTGCCAGTAACGTTTCTGAATGAAGTTGTTTTCATGAGTAGATTTCCACAGAGAATCAAGAGTATAACAGTCCCATATATTTATAGTGTTATTCGACAGTGATGTGATGAGTGCCGGTGTATCATTTTTTTTCCCATTTTTTTTCAAAAGTCTTGGATGAAGAATCCTGACTTTCATCACTACTATAGCGTGCGTATAAAGTCTGAAATTAGAAACACACATTTCTTGTAA